CCAGAGGTGCCGGGGCAGTGAGAAGCCTCACCAGAGACAGAGTGGGGAGCAGAACAAGTAGATTGACAAAGTACACTGCTGAGGGGAGTGGCGTGCGGGTCAGGAGAGGTCTGCTGGGCCGTGTGGATCACCTCCAGGGTGGGGGTAGAATTCTCACTGAAGAAGTGGCTGAGGTCAACCCACTGCGCCACCAGGGAGGGCCCAAATGAGAATACTTTAATGATGTATATGTGACAGACATTTCCTGGGATACAGAAGTGTAGTTAAATTTTTAAAAATTAATTCTAAGTTTTCCTGATGACTCGATTATAAGTTTATAGGCGGAACATCAACCATATGCTACTTGCTGTGTTACTGTTGAGCACTGGGCTAATACCTAGCCACCTGAGATGCTGTTATGAGCTGAACTGTCCCCTCCCCCTCACTCAGATGCTGAATTCTAATCCTGGACCTCATAATATGAATGTGTTTGAATAACCTTTAGAAAGGTGATTAATTTGGCCTTCCTGGTGGCACAATGGTTAAAGTGCAGTACTGCAAGCTAACAGCAGCCACTTCAGTGTGAGTTCAATCCCAGCCCTGAAGGTGACACATATGGTGCAGCAGACCTCTCCTGACCTGCCCACTGCTCCTCTCAGCAGTATACTTCATTGATCTGTAATTCATTGATTCACTCTATCTCTGGTGAATCCTCTGGCCTGTACCCCATTTCTGTATGCATAAACAAATCTTTTTAAAACAGGTGGTTAATTCAAAATGAAGTCATTAGCATACACTGTAATTCAGTATAACTAATGTTTTTGTAAGAAGAGGGAATATGAACACACAGAGAACCCCTTGGGTGTGCACAGAGGAAAGACCATTTAAGGACAACAGAGAAAAGAGCCATCTGCAAACCAAGGAGAGAGGTCTCAGAAGAAACCATCATCCCCTATATCTTGATCTTGAACTTCCATTCTTCAAAAAGCCTAGAATTTGGGATTAGGTGGATTCCAATAGTCTTCTCCTGGCAGGAAAACAGAAATATGGATTTTTACAAGCCAAAGAACAATCTTACCATGGGTGAAACGTAGAAGAGAAGAAAACTTCCTGGAGTTCTTTTAGTTCAGCAAATCCAGGTTGTAGCAATGGTCACGAAAAAACAACAGGTAGAGGACAGGTTTCAACCTGGGGAGAGGCAGGTATAGAGGTTAATAATTCTGCAGGCCCACATCTACTGTGGATGGTAACCGAGGGTATCAGCAGGGTTCTTGCTGCCCTGTGTACATTGAGCCTGAGCTGAAAGGGAAAGACTTGGACGGAAATTGGGACAGGACACAGAACTGCTGCTGCGGTTGCAGAACCTGAGCAGTTACCCTGCCTGAGCAGTCTATGGGGGAAGGCGGGGAGTGGGCGGCCACTCTCTTGGGGCCTATGTATGCTGCTCCTCTGGACTCCCACGTGACATCAGGGTACTTTCTCCATTGGCCACATGGAAGTCCATCTTCTAAGATTCAACTTGCCAGTTTGAGGAACAACTGATTTTATTTCTGTGTATTGTTTCTATATAAGGTCCTGATTTGAGAGAACCCCTACCTATATTTTAGAGATAAGGCACTGAACAGGGTGATGTGTTAAGTTCTGGGACCTTGTCATCCGCTTTTATAAATAATCTTTTTTCTTGTCTCCTTTATAGGAGATAGATA